ATTTAGATGAAATTTTTATAAAGAGACACAATAAAATATAAGGGTATTAAACTTGGATCCGTCGTATATACTTATTTCTTGTGATTGCTTCTGATAATCTGAATGAAGAACTAAGCTATTCATGCGCCCTGAATGCTCAAAGACGCTAACAATCGATTTTTATTCATTTAAATCCATTTTTCAAGAATAAAAATAAAATCAATGTTAAGTAAGATCTATTTAATTTTTTAACTAGCTTTTAACTAGTTTTAAAATTAATCGCTTTTTATCCTTTTACTATATCCATTTGTTTTCACAGCTGTTTAGCTCCTCTTTCATTGGATGTGAGGAAAGCGGCCTATCCTCTGGCTTAAGTACTTTTAATGTTTATGATGTTGCAATTTATTAATTTCTACAAGATAGGTCTGCTTTAAATGAATAAAAAATAGCCCTAACTTTTCTGCAAATGCTTTGTTCTCTGTTGGTTTCTACATTGGTGGAAATTATATTTGTAGTTTTACCGAAAGTTAACATTTAATATCATTCATTTTTCGTTGCTTTTAAGATGTCTTCGGATAAATCAATACATGGCGATAACGTGGATAGGGATGAGCAATCAAATGATCAAAGTTCGAATTTAGAGGCATCCGAAAATGGTATTTCAATTGCTAAAGCCGACGGGTCTAGTTCTCGCTACTCAACCCTGTCTATTCCCCGTATGTACCAGTATTTCCTTTTAAAATGCCTAATTCTTAAATTTATTTTCTTAATTGCCAGTTTACTTTTTACAGCTTCTCCGCCAAAGCAGGTGACTATTGATCAGTTGGCTGAAGCTACCAAAAACTTCTACAGTATGTCCCTCGTCCACGAAATCAGTGTTGATTCCAACTTCAAAGTGAGCAAGAATGAAGAACCGTAAGCTTAATTCTGTTACACAGTTTACTGTCTCGCTTATCGTTGTACATTTTGTAAAATTTATTAGGATCAGTTTTTTTGCATTTTATTAAGGTTTACAATTTTATATTTTGTCTTCTCTATTTTGATGATCTGGGAATCATATGCTAAGGCCTAAAGGGCTTTGAATTTTCTTTTAATTCTTGCCCATCTAACAGTATTCACCAATGTTGGCCATCATAACCATTAGATATGCTGCAACCCTAATGATCCCGCTTATGCAGATTCAGTATTGTTTGACTAATAGAGGCTAAAGGTTCATATTGTTTTTCTTCTCTTTTAAAATCATGTTTTTTTTTGTTTTAAATGCCTCACAAGTTTAATCGACATGAATGGCAGATTTAAGCTATCCATGGGAGTTATGGGTATTGGCTCGTGTGTTTAACGTTCATTTCTAAGTTATCATTTTCGTGTTTCATAACAATAACAAAAGGTTATTACAGCCCTTCTTCTTAAAACTGCTAGGGAGTTTTATCTCTTGAAACTGCTCTCCATACTCTAATTCGCGAATTTTGGAACTTTTTAACGTAGATAATTAGTTTGTTATTCACAGGACATTTTCGTCAAGCAGTGAAGCTACCAACTAACACGATTTACTCTTTAGTATTGACAAGTGGATCTCAGTCCCGTTTTGTATTTTCTTTAGATTTCATATTGTTAATCTTATAGTCCTGTTTGTGATATTTTCAGGCTATTTATTGAGGAGGTTATGTTGGTAGGGTTAATTGCCAGCAATTGTTTGAGTTGTCTAATCTGAGTTGTCCGGATCTGAAAGCCGCATTTTCTCGATTGATCTTGGGAGTCGGCAGTTAGACTGCTCAATATTAATAATTCAAAATGGCGCAAAACCCATGTTTTTTACTTCTTGGTTCTTCTCAACGGACTCTTCGTATCAATATTTTTCTCCAATTATGCATTTTACTAAGTAGACTGAAGGTGGAATCTGCGTCAATGCTATAGCGATTTATGCGATGTTTGAATTAGTGAGGAAGCGATTTCTAAAATGTATGATGAGTGTCATCAGGGAACCTTCATGAAGAATGCGAATTCAGCCAACCCCTTCGGCATAAATTATGCTAGTGGCTGTTTTGCTCAGTATTTGCCAATGGGCATCCAACTCGCGACCTCTGAATTCACAGTTTGAGTACGTTAGCTGCTGCGTCACCGTTGCTCATTCTTTTATTATTGAGAAGGTGTCATTTCTAATTTTAATTTCCGATAATGGATTACGATTGGTTTCAGTAAAATAATCTGCAATTATTTGGAATTGCGTTTTCTATAATAAGATCTGCTTTTTTATTATTGAATTAAGGTTGTTAGCTATTTTTTCAGAATATTTTGATTTTCTTTCACGAGATCCCATAGGTCTAGGCTCATGATCTGAATAACGCAAAGTAATTTAAGAAATAGATCATGTGCTTCGCTTACATATGCGGGTCCTGGTAATATTCTGCCCTAAACAAACCCCTTTAGATAAAGGTATTCTAGTACTTAGTGAATGTGGCACGAACTCACTTTTGAATACGTCCTCACTGGATCTTGCGTTATTTACTCTATGGATTAGTCGGTTTAGAAATGGGTTGCATACAAGCAGCACACGACCTCTCCCTCTTCGGAAGACGTATCAAGGGGAGGAATAGGTAGTCACAAAAAGTGGAGAGGGAGAACAGAAGAGTGATTCACAGATGTAAAGCGACAGACAGACATAAAGGTTGAGAAAAAGGTTAGGTGAGTGCTGTGAAATGGTTAAATATGACATACAGTGTGGTCATGGTAGTTTGAAGTGAGA